CACCTACACCGCCCCGCCCCACAAATTCATCACCACCCCATCATCACCCGCCAGTGCACCTGACGGAATGCGCCGACGTCGCCGGCCGGCTGCACGCGGCCTTCCGGGAAGACGTGCAGCCAGTCGCCAGCCGCCAGCCGCCGCGCGGCGACGCCAATGACAGGCTGCGCCGCGCCACCGCCGCGCTCTACAGGCAGCGCCTTGCCGTTCAGGAAGAACTGCCTGTGACGGGGTGGCGCGTACATGAGTGATTACACATGCGTGCTTGCATGTGGGTGCGTGTGCAAAAGCTTGCGCGAGTGCGTGTGTGTGCTTCTGTGGTCTTGCGCCTCTACGCTTGCTCGTAAGTGAACATGCCACGCATGCTCAGCAGTCCAACCTACTCGAGTGAGCGCCTGCAATTATGCTTGTCAGCATGCGCAGGGGCCTGCAGGCAACGGGCCATCCAAATTGCCCCGACCACGTATGAGCTCCAATGCGCAGCCGCCCTCGCAGCCGTCCCTCCCCTGCTCCCCCCCTCCAAAACAAAAAGAATACTCCTTTGCCCTCCTGCCGCATGCCCTGCTCTGTCCCTGCCCATGGCCCATCAATCCTGCCCCTCCCAATGGGAGGGAGAAAGTGTGGTGGAGACCCCCTCCCCTTCCCAGCCTTGCCCCCCACCCGCAAGCACCTATTTGTGAGCCCACCTCATGACATCATTCAGAAAGCACACGTCGCGCGCGCACATCGTCCACCGCATCTTCCCATGGCTGTGCTCCGTCCAAAACAGCCACCACGGCAGCAGCGCGCTCGGCAGGCCCGGGTCGTCGAACGTGCTGCGAACGCGCGAGGAGGGTATTGACAGCAGGCGCGTTCACGCGTGAAGCGCATGGGCGCACGCCGGCGGGCGTGCCCGTCAGGGGGTTGGCCCGCTGCAAGCCTGTGCTCAACTGCATGGGACCGCATGGGGCCGCATGGGGCTGCATGGAGCCGCATGGGGGCCGCACCTCGTGTGGTTTGAGTAGGTAAGCAGGCCGATGCCCTCCTCGCGCTGCATGGTGAGGTCCCTGAACCGCTGCAACCCATCTGGCTCCACATGCAGCGTGTTGAGGCCCCGCAGCAGCAGCTTGCCGAGGCCAGACACCAGGCCGAGCGTCAGGTCGCGGCCAAGGGCGCTCCAGGGCGGCGAGAGGACGTCCCGATCCAGGACTGAGCCGTGGAGGCTGTCGTGGAGCGCATCCATTGGGACCCCTTGGCGCGGCGCGGCGACGGACGACACAGCACGCCCGCCTCAGGGTCGCCTGTCCAGCAGACGGCTGGGCTAAAAGCACCACCAAAATCGAGACTTGTTTCGGGAGGCAGCAGTCTGAGAAAGTTGTCTCCTACTGTGTTGACGCGTGTGCCGCAGCAAGATCACGCCAAGAGCATGTGCGACGTTTCTCTTTGAGCTGGCATACACCTCGTGCACGCAACTTCAAACACGACACTCGACCCTTCCGCTGCTGGGCTGCTATACCAACCCTCGCGCCCCCGTAGTGATGGGTGAGAACTGCCTGGTCACGAAGCTGCCGCCGCTTGTTTCGGAAAGATGGAGGCTTTGGTGCCAGCACGTGCTGCCAGTGTTGGTGATGCACCATTGACATCTGCATGAGACAACAGAGACAGGACCGGCTGCTGACAACCCTTGTGAAAACCGAGGGGCGGACGATCGGAGCGGACTCCAGCTACCCCAGTCCTTTCAATGCTTCAAACCACCCATCTCACGGTGCCCGCACCAACACTCCCTGACGCAACCATGCGTAGCTTCCGATTATTAGGACAGCTTTTGTGATGGCATGACACGCATGTGGCGTGCCCCATGTGATTGGCAGAAACAGTCGTGTGGAGTGCAGGGGATGTCACACCGAGGAACTCCCCGTGAAGCTGAGGAAGGCGCAACGACGTGTCATGGACGTGTTTGTGCGCGACAGGCACAGGGTGGGATGCGTGCTGCATAGTCTTTGCGGGCACCTGCCACACCTGACGTGTTCAATGTGTGCAGGGTTGCGAGCGGTTGAGGCTGACAAACCGGGCATGCTGTGGGGCACATAGGCCTAGTGGTGGTGGCAGGACAGCATGTGCTGCAAGTGCGCTATTATGTGGGTGTGTGCGCGATTTCGGGCCTGCTGGAACGTACATTCGGCGAGCGCCACGGCGCACCGCGTGCAATCTGAGGATGACTAAAGCCAACCAGATTCTGCCTGCTTTGCTGTGGTTGCTCCGTCAAAACTGGCCTTTGCGCACTGCCGCATGTGCAAGATTGCCGTTGGTCGGTCCGCTGTGCCAAGGGGACGGTAACACACCTGGCACGACGCACTATTCTGCTTATCCCCCCAACCTGCCCGTGCACCACTTCACCATTCTGCTGACATGGCGCAGCATGATGATGGCGAACGCACCAGTTACCAGATTGCACGCTCGTTGCCTTGCCTTCAGGCAGCTCATGCACATGCAAGCCGTTCAGCTGCCTGCACACGAGCAAAACCTTGCTTCTGCGCCTTGGGAGGGCATGCAAGGGTGAGCAGGCGGGCAGCTGGTGTGCCTTGCGCCGTGAAAAATGATGTTGATGCACCAATCGAGTGCACGCGGCTGGCTGGGTCAAACCGCCACCGCGTTCTTTGCGTCGAGCAGCGCCTTTAGGGAAGCCAGGAAGTCGTCTGGAGCCGAGGTGCCATTGGCCGGCGGAGCCGGTTGCTCCTCAGGCGCTGCTGCGGCCGCCACGCTGGCCTCCTTGCCCTCACTCAAATCTTCCGCGACTGTTGGCTGCTTCTGATCCTGCTCATGCTGCTGCTGCTGCTGCGGGTCAATCGGATTTGCTGCTGCCACGCCGCTGACACCGCCGCTGCTGCCGTCGCCGCCGTCCACCTGCTGCCCGTCCGCTTGGACCTGCCCACCGCTATGTTGCTGCTGCTGCACCTCCTCCCATCGGGCGTCCAAGGCGTCCCGCGCTTCGCCGGCATCAAACGGCTGCACGGCGAGCGGCGCCGCGGGGTGCTGCGGCTGCTGGGGTTGGTGTCCGGCGTGCCTGTGCTGCGTGTGATGCTGGCCGCGGTGGTGCGGGTGGTGGTGCTGCTGGTGGTAGTGGCCGCCGCTCTGGCCGCTGCTGGCGTGGTGGTGCGAGTGCTTGCCGCCGCCGCCGCTGCCACTGCTGCCGGTGCCGCTGGTGCGGTGCGCCGCGTATGTGGCGCTGTACCCGCTCGCATTTGGCTGCCCTGACGTCTCAGAGCGTCGCCAGCTCATTGCCTGATCAGATATGTGTACCATGGTTGGGTAAAAGCGGGGCGCAGGGGTAACGCTGTTTTACAGGATGAACGCAGGACAGGGGTGAGAGCTGCTGCCGCTGTGCACGTGCTCTGCTGCTGGCGCTGCGCAGGGTGATCCCCGCTCCTTCGCAGCGCCGCACCTTGTCAGCCATGGACATGAGTGCGTTTTATGTGTCTGCAGGTGCCTCTGCCCCACTGTGGCTCGTAGCCTGCGGTGCCACGCGATCTAGGCCTGGCTTCAGCTCAGTTCGTTGGGTATGAGGAGGCCCCAAAGCTGGAAGTGCCTCTGATACAGTCTGCTGCACGAATGAGGATGGTCTGTTGCTGAAAGAGACAGACCCTAAATCAGAAGCGTCTTGGGGTGAATCTGAGTGAAGCTGACCCTCGCCACATGGGAAGCCAGGCACTCGCTGTTAGCACATTGACGTTGCATGTTCTTTGTTTTCGTATCAACATAGCTCAACGTGAACGTCACTGCGCCCGGCTAGCACCATGGCTACCGCGTGTCGAACAGCTACTCACAGCGCACCACACCACAAGCGGCGCTGCAGCAGGGCGCCAACGACGACGTGCGGCAGCGCGCCATGGGGAAAGCAGTGCGCCCTCGGAAACACCAGGAGCATCCTATTGTGCATGGCGCAACATGCAGCTGGTGATGCACATCCAGGCGGGATGCGGGCCGGCAACGCATGGCTGCCGTCGGCCTTTCACTACGAGCGCCAGGGCAGAGCGAGTGCACGCGGTGTCGCAGGTGTGCGTTCCAGTACAATGCTACCTATGCCGTCGGGTGCCGCATGTTGACCTCTTGCGTGGCGGTCTGTGGACAGCGGACGCGTTTTCAGTCGGCTGCACCCTCGCGATACAGTCATTGGGGTCTGGGGGTGTTGTACTGCCAGTGCGATGGCGCGCGCGGTGCACGTGCGCACCACCCCTCGCCGTGCCTTCTCTTCTTCCTGTGCTCTGTAGCTCGGGCGCAGCAGGGCAATGGCAGCGGGGGCAGCGGGGGCGACGGGGAGGAGAGCGACAGCTCGTGGCTGGTCTTTGTAGGTGAGGCGCGTGTGCTGTGCCGCGTTCTGTGGCATGTGCCAATCAGCAGCAGACAATTAGGACTCATTATTGCTGCCTGCGCAGGTGCTCCCGCCTGACTCAACCCCATCCTGAGACCATCTGCATAACTGCATTAGCAGTTGATGGCCTTCCACTCCTGCCCTTCCACCCCGCCCCCCTCGCTCCCTTCGCTCCACCCTCTCCCCGGAAGCCCCAACGACTCATCCCCCCGCTGTTCCGCCGCAGTGGCCGTGGCGCTGGCCGCCGCCTGCGCCGTCACCGTGTGGCGGGTCCCCATAGAGGACCTGCTTTATGGCGGGGAGGAGGCGATTGACGGCCTCACGGCCGGCTATGGCGGCTTCGGCCTCGGCGACGCGGCCGGCGCGGCGCTGTGGGCGGCCGCGCTGTGGTTCGTGACGCCGCTGCAGCTGCTGCTGCTGTTTCTCGGGAAGATCGAGACAGAGCGGCCCTCGGACGAGATCATCTCGCTGCTGGGGCGCGCGGCGGGGCTCGAGTGAGCGGGGTACAAGGATGTAGGGGCCCTGAGTGCAGAGTTGAGCGAGTCGCGTGCGGGGCCTTCCCTGCGGTCTTCAGAGCCCCGTTTGTCGTGCGCGCCGGGCTCACGCTGCTGTGCGGCGTCCCGCCCGTTGCCCCCCTCCCCAACCCCGCAGCGTGGACGCCGTCGGTTACGAGGCGCCCGCGTGGGCACGCGCTGTGGCCGCTGCCGCGTGCGTGGCCGGCGGCGTCGGGCTGGCTGCGCTGTTCTCGCTATCCCTTGGGGACGCCACGTGGGCAGTGAGCTCCGGCATAGGCGCGCTCTTTGCGGCGGCGGTGTACGAGGTCGGGCGGCCGGCGCGCGTCAGCGGCGCGGAGGCGGTGCAGCTGGAGGAGCAGTGGCAGGAGTTTGGTAGGTGTCCTGCGCGCGCACGCGCACGTGCCTTTTTCTGACCCGCGCCCGCCCCGCTTGCTAGGTCGTTGTGTGTACTGTCTGATGCGCGGGGGCGCCGGGCGGGGGTGGTGTGGGTGCCGAGAGATGCTGCTGGGTGGGCCCTATATTTCAGGTGTGCCGAAACCCTGATCACAAGCATATCGGTGGCGCTGGCGTGACACTGAGAGCGTGTGCAGCAAGTTCCGTCCGCGGCCATGCGTCCGCCTTGCCTGCCGTTGCACACCAGCTGCCGACCCCGGCCTGCTGCCCCCTCTCGGCGTGCGCCCGCAGCGCGCTTCGCCGACCGCCGCCTGCAGCGCGGCGGGCGCTGCCACGAGAGTGAGGTGTGGGCGGCGTACCGGCGGGAGCCCGGCGCCAGCATCGCGCGGCGGTCACAGGACGCCGTGCCGGACGCGACGCTGCGCACCATGGTTGTCAACTGGCACCCAGAGGCGCAGAGGACGCGCACCGGGTTCTACAAGAACCTGTCGGTCAAACCATATGTCGACGCGTTTACCGGCAAAACGCTAGGCATGAGCGTCGCCAGCAGCGGCGGCGCGGGGAGCGGCGCCGAAGAGTCGCGAGAGGCCTGATTTCTTGTAACATCTCACGCCCAGAACCAGCCTTGGCAGGGAGTGCTTTGACAGTGGGTGCGATGCGTGGTCAACACTGCAGCGCGACGGTGCAGCAAGACCATGCACGGGCAAGGGAGCGGTCAGGGTGGATTGCACCATGAGGGTGCTGCTCACGTCGGTCAAACAACATAATGGTGTTTAAATCATTGCCTTAGGTACAGCAGTGTGCACTGTTGTAGGCTCTAGCTGCAGCGTTGCCATAGAGATCTGCGGGAGGCCGTTGTGTTTCCTCCCGTCAGCAGTTATTGAGGTGCTGAAACCAATCTTACTATCAGCATCAGAGCAATGCGCTCCCTCGGCAGCCCGGCGACATTCGCCAAGGCGAGGGCGGGCTTGAGTGGCACTCGCCCTGGCAGGTGCTCCACGCCCATGCTTCCCCAGACGGGCCGTCAAGCCCAGCGCAGCAGCAGGGTGGAATCGTGCCGGCGGCAGCTGCTGGGCACGCTCCTGGGCGGATCGACGCTGACGGCGCTGGGCATGTGGCGCCCGGGCACCTCCGCGGCGGCGGTGGGCAGCAGTGAGATGGAGAAGGTGCGGCGGCATCATGGGTGCATAGAAACAATCTGCAGACACACAAATGCAGGGAGAGCTGGCGGGGCGACAAAACAGCTTGGTGTGGCCTCCCACGCACCAGGCTGGGTGGCATGGCGTTTGTGGCCCGAGAGGCAGGCTGGGGGACTGGCCTAGCGACAGCATATCTGCATACTGCATACACAACAGATCTGATGCAGAGACACAGATGATATCATTTCACATGCGTTTGCAGCAGCTGCGGCAGCTGCATGCGCGCAGCGCTGGCCCGCACCCCCCAGCCTACTGAAACATCCCAAACCCTCCTGTCGAGGGTCCCCGTTCAACCCTCACCCCTCAACTGAACAATAAAACGCACGCATGTTTCAAAGCGAAAAACTCCACGTGCACTCAAGGCTGCGCACCCCAGATCCACTCCCCCGGCCTGTTCCACTCGGACCCTCGGTCCCACCCCACACCTCGCCACCCCCCCCCCCTCGCAGGTCCTGGAGGACCCCAAGTGGCCCGCCAAGTGGCCCTTCAGGCCGGAGGACTTCCTACGCTACGACGAGGCCGACGACGCCGCCTTCTACAGCCAGCCTCGCTTTGTCTACCACATCGATGATGGCGCCGTCGGCGCGCTGACTAAGTGGGCGCCGCACTTTGGGGCAGGGGGGGGGGTGGGTGTGCACCGCGCATGCTATGGTCGAGGAGGTGCAGCGGCACGGCCGGGCGCAGCGGCTGCTGAGTTGGCGTGAGAGGGTGCGCGTGCGGTGGCGGCGGGGCGTGTCGGCGGCTGTCGGTGCGGCCTCAGCGCGGTTTGCTGTGAGATCGCTCCGGCGGGACCGTCGGGCGTGGCCCGCTGCAGGGCGCATGCAAGCAGCGCACGCGGCTGCAGCTTGCTTGGCCTAGCGCTGCGGCGCTCAGGAGGGCGTATGCCCTTGTGGCCGGCGGTCGGAGGGACAAGCAGCTCAGCGGCCCTGGGAGCACCCCATCCCTCCATCCCGCCCCGCACCAATGCTGTGGCTGTCCATCCCCCCCCCCAAAAAAAAAGGTATTATGGTGAGGTGTTCCCGCCCTCTGGCACCGAGAGCGCGGCACTCCTGGACATCTGCAGCAGCTGGGTCAGCCACTACCCCGCAAACTACACCGCGGGGCGCGTCACCGGTGCGGCACGCCAAGGGTTTGCCGTGCATTTGCTTCGTGGGGTGGGGGCGCGGCGGGCATGCCGCCGTCGGCGAACCCCTCAGCACTCTTTTCGTGCCTCCCGTTTTTGCTCGGATGATCGGCTCAGACACCCGGCTGCGTCCGTTGTTTCATGATATCCAACCGTACTACCAAGCACTATCACCTCCCTCTCTTTCACGCTGCCCTCCCTTACCCTGGTTCCCATGTCTCCTTCCACTCACACACTCTGATACCCCACACTGGTCACGAGCGAGGTGTCCTTGTCGCTGCATACACTCACCCATCACATCCTGCCACCCATCCACCAAA